GCGTCGTTGACGCGTGCACCAACACCAACACCCAGACGGACACCTTCAAGCTCAACCCGGAGGCTGCTGTATTCGCCCCAGCTCGCCCTCCTGGCTGCTGGCACCCAGAAGGCGGGAATGGAGCCTACCCCACCGAGACCCACCCCAACGCCAACGACGACTACGGCGACGAGGAGGAGGAGAAGGAGGAGGAGGAGGACGAGGAATAGGACGAGGATGAGGAGGAGGAGGAGGAGGAGGAGGAGGAGGAGGAGGACGCGTACGCCTAACACCCGCACCCCCCCCCACCTCCTTTTTCCACGGCCCCCACGACGGACCCCGCGCCCCCCCAGCCACACCCCGAGTGGCCGCATGCCTTGCGAGCGAGCCCGTGGGGGCATACCTGGGGAAGCGGCCACAGGTGCCGCCGGCCAAGCCAAAGCCGGCGCCGCCTGCCCCGCGACGGGCTCGGCATCCCGAGTGGCCGCATGCCCAGAGAGGGAGCCCGCGGGGGGCATGCCCGGGGAAGCGGCCATCGGGACAGCCGACGCCGTGCCAGAGCCCCGCACCTTGCCCCCCCCCGACTGCCCCGCGCCCCGAGCGCCCCCTCGACTACCCCGCGGCCCCCGCGACAGACCCCGCGCCCCCCCAGCCGAGCCCCTAGTGGCCGCATGCCCTACGACGAGGGAGCCTGTGGGGGAGCATGCCCGGGGAAACGGCCAGAAGGTCCGCTGGACAGCCCACAGCGGGCGCCCCCCCTCCGCGGCCGGCTCGACATCCCGAGTGGCCGCTTGCCCTGAGAACAAGCCCGCGGGGGGGGGGGCATACCCAGAGAAGCGGCCACAGGGACAGCCGAAGCCATCCCCTGGAGCTCCGCATCCGACCCCCTCGATTGCCCCGCGACCCGAACGCCCCCTCGACTGCACTGCGGCCATCACGACGGACCCCACGCCCCCCTTGCCACGCCCCGAGTGGCTGCATGCCCTGCGATGGAGCCAATCGGCGGCATCCCGAGTGGCCGCACGCCCTGAGAACAAGCCGGCGGGGGGCATGCCCGGGGAAGCGGCCGCAGGGACAGCCGAAGCCCCCCCCCTCTGGAGCCCCCGACCCGACCACCATCACGATGGCCCACACGACCCACCACCGCGACGGGGCCTTCCACGACGTCCCCCGCGGAGGCACCCCATCCCCCTCAACGACTACCGCGATGACCTCCATGACGGCCCCCACGACGAACCCCACGACACCCCACCCGACGGTCCCCACGACGGCAGTGCCCCGAGTGGCCGCATGCCCAAAGAGTGAGCCCGCGGGGGGCATACCTGGGGAAGCGGCCATATAGGGGCCGCTGGCCAGGCCAACGTTGGCGCCGGCCACCCAGCGGCGAGCTCGACATCCCGAGTGGCCGCATACCCTGTGAGGGAGCCCGCGGGGGGCATGCATGTCCGGGGAAGCGGCCATGCCCTTTGGGACCCCCCCCCACCTACACAACGGCCCAGCGCCCCCCCACTCAACCCCAACACCCCTACGACCCACCACGACCACGAACCCTTACGACGGTCTCTGCGCGACGGCCCCCGCGACGGCCCCTCGCCACCGCCCTGACGACGGGTCCCGCGACGAACCCCGCGACGGCCTCCCTTGGTTGCGCGGGCAGCGCTTCCCTCGCGGGCTGCTGGTCGGACGAAAGGACGACCAGATTGAAGGCCCCTGGCTTCGAGACCCCGCGACGGCCCCCCGCGACTCCCTCGACGACGGCCTCTGGGCGGGACCTCTGCGACGGCTGCACCCGCGACAAACCCCCGCGACGGCGACGGCCACGGCGACGGCCACGGCGGGCGCGAAGACGGCCGCGGCTACCACGACAGCCCTCGCACCTGCCCCCGCGACGACCCCCGCGACGGCCCACCGATGGCCCGCGCGACAGTCTCGCGGACTACCCCCGCGAGCACGACGACGAAGACAGCGGCGTCTCGTCGGGGGAGACACCCCCGTGGAGGACGAGCACGCCATTTCGGACGACCCTGACGCGTCCAGCTCACTCCTTGCCGCCTGACGACAGGCGGCGGCAACCCTGCAGGAGGCCCCCCCCATCCGCCCTCGTCCTTGGCCGCGCGGCCCATGGCTGCCCGAAGGGAGGACGAGGCCGCCCATGCGGCAACTGGCCTCAGGGCGCCACAGGGGTTGCGCGGCATGCCCGGCAGCGCCCTCACGCCCACCCCGACAGGCATGGAAAGAGGCCTCTGCGACGGCAGGAAGATATCGTCGCATCCAAGAGACATCTCAAACCTGTGTCACAAGAAGCGCGCGGGTCCCCGAGGGGCTTTGCCACCCACAGCGTACGAGGGTTCCCCCATCTCCATTCCCTGCCGGCTCACCTTCTTGTAGCCCCGATTCCCCCCACCTTTCTTCTCTAACCTCCTCCATCCCCCCCCTCTTGTGGCGGGGTATGGGTAGGGTATGTGGGCGGGAGGGGGCTTGAACTCACCGCAGGCTGTCCTGGCAAGAGCCAGAGCGGCTGCGGCCGCCACTGGGGCAGACGCCACCAGGGCGCCCACTCAACCTCGCCCCTCACCTGCCCCGCCGCCAACAGTGCACCTCCGCACCACCCTGTCCTCGCCGAACCACCGACACAGATGGCAGAAACCACCCCCACGCACGGTGGAACCTCCCGAAGCAGCCACCGCTCCCATGGTCTGGGTACCCTACTCCTGCCTCGGCAGGGGAGGGTACCAGTCGTGGGGATGGTGGCTGCTTAGGGGGGGGATCCTACGTGGAGGGGGTGGGGCCTTTCTGTCGTCTACCTCGGCGAGCGTGGCCGGTGCCGTCTCGCACCATCGTTGGGGGAGGGCCCGAACCTCCCTCAAGCCTGGTGGAAACCCCCAAGGCGGCCAAGAGGCCGACGTGCTGGGAACCCAACGTCTAACTACTTGCAGGCGAGGGATCCCGCCGTCGGCCTCTGCGACGCCTGTGGGGGATCCTCATGGGCAGAGGAAGAGGCCCTTTGGGTCATTCCCCGATGCGACAGGCACCCCACAGAGGGCCCCGCGGAATCACCCTCCGCAACCTCACCCTGCAACGCCAACCGTTGCCCTGCTCACCCTTGGCCGCCACGCAGCCACACTTTCCACGCCGACGCCAGCAGCCCCCCCCCCCCTTCCCCCGCAAGGTTTTATCCGATTCGTTTTCAAGTGCGCCCTCGAGGGCGCGAAGTTATTCGCGCTTCGCGGTTCTGCTCCGATTCTTCCTCTTCCTCCTCTTCTCCCCTGGGAGGCGGCGCGAGAGCGCGAAGTTATTCGCACTTCGCGCTTCGCGCAGCGCGAAGCGCGAAGTTGGGAGCCCTTTGGTGTTTCTCCCCTCCTGTTTGCGGGGCCGCGGCCCTTAAATGTTTCGTTTTGTTTTGCTCCCCCAAGGGGGCCCGACCGGGCCCCCCTGGGGGAAGCGGAAGCGTTCGACGAACCCCAGTGCTGTCCGGAGCACAGGACAATGGGAGGAGGATCAGGAGGAGGTGGAGGAGGAGGAGGAGGAAGAGGAGGAGAAGTAGGAAGAGGAGGAGGAGGAGGAGGAAGCGGAGGAAGAAGAACACACGCACCGGCATAAACGTCAGCTTTCGGAACGCCGCCCCGATTCTTTGGAATCGGCGCCGCGCGCGTCACCCCGGCGCGTGGAACGCACCAAGAGCGGCGCCTCCGAGGGGGGGGCCCAGGCGCCAATCCAGGAAAGCTGCGCGGAGCTCCGCGAGCTTATGCCGTTGTTCTACTCCTGTGAACGGGCACGTCGACGGCGTCGTCTCCTCCTGGTCCTCCTCTTCGGATGTCCCCGTCGTTCGGAGGCCTCCGGACGTCCCTGCTGGCCTATCGAAGTTCCCCCAGGGCTTGGCGAACCGTTATGGTCCTAGAAGTTGCTTGTTGACCTCGTCCATCTCGCCTTGAGATCTGGGCGTTGCACTTTTTCACAATGGGTAATTTTGTCTTTTCGGGCCTTGGGACAATCACGGTTCAATCCAGGTCGGAAGATTCAGCAGCAACATTCTAGGGTTCTAGTCGTGAGATTTGGCGATGTTGGATTTGTTCGCAACGTCGGATCTCGTGGTTTGTGCGATATTGAGGCGACAATCGTCGAGACCAGTAGGGCATTGGCAGCAGTGACTACGATAATTAGGTTCGTGTCACGTCGACTCGTCGACGACCGCACCGCGGGCGTTGAATGGTGAACGCCACTAGCTGTCATCTGTCCAACATTGAACTACTTGCGTTGTCGGAGGGCCCCGATCGTTCACGGTTGAAGGAGCCACGCGGTGTCAAACACCTACGCCCAAGTCGCCACGACACGAACCTACCACACGACGACGGCGAAAACGACCGAGGTCCCTGCGGCGGCCCCGGCCCATCCGCGGAGCCTCTCACCGAGAGAGCCCGTGGAGCCCCCGCGGCGCCCGAAGGCCTCGACTGTCGAACAACGACGACGATGACAACGTCGACGACGACGTCGGCGGGAGTGGCGGCGGCGGCCGCGGCGGCGGCGATGACAACGGTGGCGACCGTCCGACCGTCGACCGTCGACTGGCGACGACGACGACGACGACGAAGACGACGACGACGACGACGACGACGACGACGACGACGACGACGACGACGACGACGACGACGACGGCGGCGGCGGCGGCGACGACGAGGGCGTCGACCGTCGACCGTCGAGCGACGCCGCGGGCGACGGCGGCGGCGTCCGCGGCGACGGCGATGACGGCGACAACGGCAGCGGCGACGACCTGTGGCGTTAATTCAAGGGAGGAATGACCACCCGGACCCGATAATTTGCGTTTGTTAGACGGCCCTGGGCGTTTGTTCCACAGCCCTGCCCCGTTCGATTCCTCCTTGTGGTGCGTTTACGAAACGGCCTCGCTTGTCGTGGTGGTTATTATGGGGGGGGGTGTTTGTCCTCTCTTTTCGGCCGTTGTCGAGGAGCTGCTGCCCGACATCCCAGCCTGGTGGGCGGCGTGGAGGGCGTGGATGTTCTCGCGGGAGCGCGGGGCGCGGCGCTCCCGGGGGAGGGTCGGAGGTTGCGTCAGAGCCCCCTTCCGTGCTCAGGCGACCAGCGAATGGTTAGGCAGGCGTCTGGTTGCGGCGCGCGGACGCCCCCCTCCCCCTTCCCCCTCCCCCTCCTCCTCCCCCTCCGTCCCCTCCCCCTCCTCCTCCTTCTCCTCCTCCTCCTCCTTCTCCTCCGTAGCCATTTTGGTTCAAGACCCATGCTTTGGCGGGCTGAGCCCGCATTGGCAAAAACGGATACCGCTAGTCCGCGGCAGCTATCAACCTGTCAGGAGGTCCCTCAGTCGAGGGGTTCGCGAGCCTCCAACATCCCTTTCCTTGTTCTCGCGCCATGGCTCCTGCAGGCCCTGGCGAGTGGGAGCGTCGCCCGTGGGTTCAGTCCTCCAGGCCCCGTCGCTGGGGGGGCACCATACCTGAGGGCGGGGCATCATCGGCAGCCAAGTGGGAGTCCTGGGACAGCCAGCGAGCCAAGCACGAGGAAGAATGGAAGACGGTGGCTGGGCCCAAAGGTGAAATACTATGCCACCACTGCGGTTGCCGTAAGAACTCAAAAGGATCGATGTGCTGCAAGCATTGTGGCCAAAAGCTCGGTACTCGTCCCCAACCTCTGGAAGACTCTGGTGGCCCCAAGTCGTCGGACGAGTTGGGGAAGGGAGCGAGCAAGGGGAAGAAAGGATATAAAGTCGGCAAGGGAGATCCTCTCGGTGGCAAAGGCCCAGGCAACCTCTCCTCGGCACTCCCTCCTGGACCTGTTCCCGAGATTCCTCAGGCCAAGGCCCTCGAACTACAGCGTTTGGCTCTTGAGGCTGGGGACGCTGTGGGGGCCGCGCGCTATGGAGCCCTGGCGCAGAGGGCGGCTCCACCCCCGAAGCCGTCGGGGAGGCAGCGGCTCGTGGCCGCTGAGCAGAAGCAGGAGAAGCTCGAGAAGCGCCTCAAGAGCGAGTTCGAGAAGCTGGAGCGCTGGCGTCGGGCTACAGACGAGCTGGCGGTCACGGTGGGGACCCTGGCCGACGAGCTGCGGGCCGCCGATGGCGAGTTGGCAGCCGCCCTGGTGGAGCTCCAGAGCCAGCACAGAGGACCACCAGCGACGGAGTCCAGCGGCCTCGCGAGCATCAGCCTGCGCAAGCTCATCGACGGGGAGATGGAGCTGGCCAGCCTTATTTCTTGCGACGATTTCATTGACGTGGAGGCGGTCAAGGGCAGCTACGAGGTGTCCGAAGATGACCTTCGAGAGCTCGAGGATCGCAAGAACGACGTGGCGAAGCAGATGCAAGAGGTGCTTGGATCGGTTTTTCGACAAGCGCTGGAGAAGGCCAACTCCGCCCAGGACCAGCACAAGGAGCATCTCAAGCGTCTCCAATCGAAGCGTCGACGCACTGCTGATGATGGGGAACAAGCAACAGCCACAGGTGGGATCGAGTCTGGAACAGGGACTTCGCCAAGCCCAGGGACCGCGACAGCGTGCTCACCTGCCGAGGCGTCGGTGGAGGAGGTGGGCAAGGCGGCCCCACATGTGGACATTCGCTCTCGTGTCGCTGCTGACGGTGGAGTGCAAGCAGCTAAACGGGCGGGGCTTTAGCCACAGCGTGAGCTCGACACAGGTCGGGGCGACGTGGTCGAGTTCGGCGACTCCTTGTTCCTGGTCGTCCCTCGGTGCCACGAGCGCATCGTCGAGGCCGTCTCCTTCGGTTGCGTGGTCATCGTCGGTGTTGCATACTCCCTGCGCTGCAGTGTCGCCGTCGGCTCCGGTGTCGGCAACTCCCTGGACAGCGGTGGCGACGTCGACTTCGCGGGTGGCGTCTACCAGCTTTGTCGGATCGGAGACCAGGTGCGCCTCGAGCCTGGTCTCCTCAGAGTTAAATTGCGAGGAAGTGTGGCCACGGGATTCGGCGATAGGTCAGAGCGCCGAGTACGTGTCAGCCATTCAGAACGCAGCCGTCAAGCCCATCCAAAGCTTGGCGGCCCTCTCGTCCAAACCTTTTGTTGCACGCAGTGAAGAAATTTCAGCGTCAGAACGCGACAGCCAGGTGCTCCTCGAACCTGGCTGTCTCAGAGTAGATTGCGGGAGCCCGTCGTGGGAGTCTGGCGTTAGATCGCCAAATCCTGGGGGCAACCGATATTCGGCTGAAGTGCCCTCCCAGGTTCAGTCGCCACGTGCTGGGTCTCGAGCCAAGGGAGTCAGTGTTGAGCAACCTCAGGGGGAGGCTAAAGCAGCGCTGAAGCCGAAGCAGGTCATCTCATTGATGGAAGGGCTCCCTCCTGAGGACCGCGGTGCCCAAGGTACGTTCAAAGTGGGCACTCTGAATGCGAATACGTGGCCAAGGGCTCGGAACACCATGCCTTGGATTGAGAAGCATTGCCAGATGCCGCAGGTGTTGTGCATTCAGGAGACCGTGCTGGACCAGTCGGGGGAAGCAGGGGCCCATCAATGGACTCGTACTTGCTCTCGGAAGCTGGCGCTGGGTACTGCCAAGCGCACCGGAGAATCGGCCAGATCTCTCTCAGCAGGAGTTGGCTTGTCTGCGGCCATGGGCATTGGGGTGTCCAAGCTCCAGGTGCCTGAGAGGTGGCAGCATCGGGTGGCGATGAGGCTCATGACGGTTGGCGCTCACTCGTGGATCATCATCGGCTCAGTCTACGGCGTCGACTCGATCGGCCCCAAGGGCGAGAACCTGGAGCTACTGGAGTTCCTCAGCGCCTTCCTGGGGGCGCAGCGCTTCCCGTTCCTGCTGGGAGGCGACTGGAACCTTGAACCTGAGGAGATCATGGAGCTAGGTTGGCTGGACCTGGTAACCGCCACCATCTTCGCACCTGGTTTCCCAACCTGCAATGGCAAAGAGTATGACTACTTCATTGGCTCCCAGGCTCTGGACGCCTTCCCCATGTCGGTGGAGGCCAGGGTGGACACGCCGATCTCGCCACACTGCTACGTGGAGATCAAGCTGGAGGGCCTCAGCGACGAGCCCTTTGTCTGGGTTGAGGCGCCCCCGCGAGCCTTTCCCCTGGCCGACCAGGAGGCCAAGAGGAGGGTCAGGAAGAAGGCTAGGGGTGCCAAGGAGACCGACCTCACCCCGACCACGGAACAGCCTGTGGTACCTGTGCTTGACGAATGGCATCTGGACGCCCCTGTGAGCTCGGTCGAGGATGCGGCAGCGATGTGGTTCAATGCGGCGGAGAAGTACCTTGTGCAGTTGTTCGAGATTCCGATCTCGGACAGGAGATTCTTCATTGGCAGGGAGAAGGGCGTGGTACTCAAGAAGAAGAGGCTGGTGGATTGTGCGAAGGCTATTCTCGAGCGCCACGACGAGACGGACACCAGAGCTTGGTTGAGTGCCCTCAGGCTATGGGATGCCCTATGTGTTGCATCGTCAGCTCCGCCTGGTTCGAAAGCAGGCAGACCAGAGCACTCCGAGAGGTGCGAAAGGCAGTTGCTGGCTTTGAGGCTCCCTGAGGCCATCTCGGAGTCCCCCTCCCTGCAGGCTAAGGAGGTCCAGAAGTGGGTGGCTCTGGCCAAGAGAGGAGATCAATTGTCTGCCTGGTTTCGGACTGTGCTTGCGGAGGAGGTGGAAGTGCGCAGGCGCAAGGACTCACAGGCCAGGAGTAAAGCTTGGAGAGAGTTTGGCGAACTTGCAGCTCAGGGCTCTGGCAGGATAGCGCACGCGATCTCCAGGCCCAAGATGTTAGAGGAGGCGCCCACGCTGGCCAAAGGCAAGCCCCATGGTCTGGTGGGAGCTGCGGCGATCACGGCGGTGCTGGAAGAATGGGAAGAGCTGTGGATCTCTGACGACAGGGCCCAGGAGGCAGCGCCGTCTGATTGGAGTTACCCGTGGAAGCTTGACCAGATCTCGGAGGACCAGATCGTCCAGGTCTGCCGCTCCTTTGGTGTATCTACTGGGCTAGGCTGGGACAACTTTCACATGAGGCTGGTAACCTTTCTGGATGGGGTGTTTGTGCGGAGGCTGCAGGAGATTATCTCAAGTTGGGAGCGCAATCCGCACTGTGAACGCATGTGGGTCACGATCAATGTTTTTCTGCCTAAACCAGGAGGAGGCACACGGCCGATTGGGCTCTTGTGTTTCTGGGCACGCATTTGGAGCAGATGCAGGAGGCAGTATGTAAAGAGTTGGGAGGCGTCTGTGGACGCGAAGTTCTTCTGGGGAAAAGATGCCACGACCAGTTGCGACAAGGCGGCGTACGTGCACAACATGCTGGCCTGCTACGCCAGAAGGAAGAAGCTGTCGGCCATTACTGTGTTCTATGACATCCGCAAGTTTTACGAGAATGTCAGTCATCAGCAGCTTCGAGAAGCAGCAGAGCACTACAACTTCGACGGCGCCTTGCTGAAGGCGCTCTGCTGCCTGTATCGGGCACCTCGTCGGGCGCGCTGGACAGGGGGCACGGGCAGAGTCAGTCATCCGAATGGTACGATCGTGGCTGGCTGCAGTGCGGCAACGGGAGTGGCGAAGCTGATGACCTTGTGCCTCCTCAAGCGCCTGGCTGAGGAGACGCCTCCGTGTCGTGCGCTGAATGTGGTCGATGATTTGACGACGCATACCATCGGAGGCCCCAGGACGGTGGTTGAGAACACGGTCAAGAGTTTCGAGATTGTCACCGCTGAGCTGGACTCGAGGAAATTGCCGATCAATTGGGACAAGACTAGATTCATGATGTCCGATCAATCTCAGCTGCCTGCATTGGTACAGGACCCCAGGTGGAGGCTATCGGACGACAAGCTTGTCATCGCCCACCGTGACCTCGGCGGCGACTCGCTGGACGGCAGGGCGAGGCGGGTCGGCACGCAGACTTCGAGATGTGACGCTGCCCGCAGCGTTGCACGCGCCTTACGTCAACTGGGGCAAAGTGAAAAGCATAGTAGAGTTTTTCGTGTGGGAGCGCTGGCTAAAGCTGCGTGGGGGTCCCACATTTTGGGGATCCCGCCGACCACCCTCCATAAGCTCAGGGTCCAAGCTGCGAGA